TCGAGGGGCATTTACAGAGGCGCCTCTGCGCCCCTGGCAAAAAAAAAAGTGTTCTGCGACCGCTTACTTCACATAATGGACGAGCCGCCCCTGCACACACTGCGAAACAACACACCCATCCCTCCACATTGTAATCACACACTATGGCACAGCCCCCAATGCCACACCAATGTGAAGCCACGGGGTTCAACATAGCCACAACTCTAAGAGATAAGCTGCCTCTCAGTCTCTTTGTCCTTGCCTTTGTCGCCCTGTACCGCCTGCCAGGTGGCAATAATAAGGCATTGTAAGGAAGGCCTTCCTTCTCAGAACCGGAGAATGGAGAAAGTAGGCCAGCAGAAGTCCCAGTGATACTCAAGCAACACTGGGTATATACACCAATACAGAATAGAATAGAATAGAATAGAATAGAATAGAATAGAATAGAATAGAATAGAATAGAATAGAATAGAATAGCTGTATTGCCATTGTACAAACTGTCTCTCAGTCTCTTTGTCCTTGCTTTTGTCACCCTGAGGGGAAAGAAGGGAAAGAGAAAAAGGAGGAGGAAAAAGGAGGGAAGAGGAGGAAAACAAGGAAGAGGGAAGGAAGAAGAGGAGAAATAGAAGAGGAAGAGGAGGAGGAAAAAGAAGGGAAGAGGAAAAGAAAGAAGAGGGGAATAGGAAGAAGAGGAGGAGATAGAGAAAGGGAAGAGGATGAAGAGGGGAAAGAGGAAAAGGAGGAGGAAAAAGAAGGGAAGAGGAGGAGGAAGAAAGGTAGAGGAATGGAAGAAGAAGGGGAGGAAGAGGAAGGGAAGACAGGGAAAATGAGAAAGAAGGGGATGAAGAAGAGAAGGAAGAAGGGGTAGGAGGAAGATGAGGGGGAAGAGGAAGGGAAGAGGAAAGGAACAAGAGGGGAAATATGAAGAAGAAGAAGAGGAAGGCAAGAGAGCAAAGAAGGGAAAGAGAAAAAGGAGGAGGAAGAGGAGGAGGAAAACAAGGAAGGGGAAAGGAAGAAGAGGAGAAATAGAGAGAAGAGGAAGAGGAGGAAGTATAGGAGCCCTGTGCAGAACCACGGGGCACATAGGACTTTGCGGGTGTGTGCATGTGCAAACGGTGCCACCAAAGCCCTCCAGACAAAGGCCCCTCCCCTTTGCACACGCGTGTGCACCACCCATGTTCTCCAGACTCACTGTCCACTCTCGGACTCCACGGCGTGGCCCTTCTGTCCACTTCCACTCCAGCCTTGCGTGCAAAGGAGCCGGATGCCGTTGAGTCCTGTGTCGTCTATGGTGGGACCCCGGTACGACTCCACCTGGAAAGAGGGAGACATGAAGGTGGAAGCACCATCCGAACCCTCCCAACAGATGGCCCTCCAGCCTCATATATAATACAATATAATAATATTATTAGAATAGAAGAGAATCATAGGATCCTATGGTTGGAACACCCAGGAAGACACCATCCAAACCCTCCCGCCAGATGGCCATCCAGGAAGACACCATCCAAACCCTCCCGACAGATGGCCCTCCAGCCTCATTGGCCTTAGAAGGTTAATGGAGAAATATAATATAATACAATATAATAATATTATTAGAATAGAAGAGAATCATAGGATCCTATGGTTGGAACACCC